AATCTCTAAACCTCAAACATTACAGTCATCTCTGCAATTACTTCTTTTGTCAAAGCTTTCCCTGTCGACTTTCCATACATCACTTCCAACATCCAAGATAAATAAGTATTTTATGCCTAGGATCTAAAACACAAGCCATGTAAACCAGTCTATTTATCCTTAGGTTCTCCACCTCATCATCATCATCATCATTCTCAAACCAATACTTTCGTACCTTTGCCTCCATTCTTCTGCCATCTGTTTTATCTCTTCATCTATGTCATTCTTAAATGTTTCTATCACTTCATAAATGTCAACAATAACCTTTAAGAACGTATGAGGAGTCACAAAAGAGGTTCTTGATATACATAAAAAAAATAATAAAGTAAATATATAATTAATATTGCAATCAAATTCAATTGAATAGATTATTTACAAGTTAATAGAAATTAAAAATCATGAATTTTTAATAGGTGGAGTTCACATACCGGATACACGAAAGGTGCCCTCATAAAAGAACTTCAAGTACTTCATCAGCAACCGAATACTGCACCAACCATCCTTAGTTAGAAGACCTCTCTTAGAGTCCACATAATCTTGAAATGAAGTATCATTGGGACTTGAATGCATGAAGTTAAACACCAGCTCAAACCTTTATGCATATTCCAACATCAAATAAGTTGAGTTTCACCTAGTTGGAACATCCAAAGGCACAAGTCTCTTTCCATCCATTTCCAGAATTGCAATGCTAGATTCGAACTTTCCACTCCTTGCTGGTGATGACTTCACCCATTTCACACAATCTCTAATTCTTTCTACAATAACTAAAACCTCTTTCAACCAATACGACACAACCAAATTGATTATATGTGTCACACATTGAAATTGCCAATACTTCCCACCAAGCAAATATTTTCCCCACTCTTTCATCTTTGTTCTCATACACTCTGCAATAATATTATCAGAAGTAGCATTATCCATTGTAATGGAGAACAAATTTTGTGCTTTCCATTCTTATAGACATGCTGCTAATTTTTCTGCAATATCCTTCTCTGTGTGACTGGTAATAGGAACAAAGCTAATGATCTTCTTCTGCAGCTTCCAGTCACTCCCAATGAAATGGGCAGTCACACATAAAATTTTGATTGTTATTAAAAGTCCATGTATCTGTGGTGATTGAAATTCTTCCTTTGCACTTGGAATTGAAGAACTCGGTTAGCAACTCTTTTTTCTCCAAAAATATGATATACCAATCCCCTCTTATTGTCTGCCTTCCAGATATCACAAAAAATGGTAGGGTTACCGCCATATATCTCTTAAACCCTTCATGCTCAACAAATTGAAATTGCAGCTCATCCAAGATTATCACTATAGCTGATACAGTTCTACCTTTTTGTTGATCAAACTTTCATGGACTAAGAGAGCCTACCTCACCATCCTCAGGTTGATAGTTCAATAGTGATTGACCACTGGCTTCCTTCCTCTTCCTCTCGCATGCCAAGAGATGGTTTTTCAAACCGGTAGTCCCATTTATACTTGAGCGAGCTTTGATCAAAGTTCCACACGGATTGCATTTTCCATGTGGGTATTCATCCACCAACACCTCAATAAAAGGAATCCACCACTTAGATGTCTTCCTCCTTCCACCTCCATTGACATTTTTCTTTGGCACACTCGCTCCTTTTGTAGGGCCTGTAGGCGCAACAATTGGATTTGTTGCATTGTAGTTGAAGGTGTTGCAGCTGCAGTTGCAGGAACATATTGAGTACCACTTGTTGTGCCTGTGATAGGTGTACTAGATGAGGTATTTCCTTGTTGTATAGCTTGACCACCAATGTCACCCTTGTTGGAAGTGCTTCGAGGAGGAAGCGAACTACCTTTCGAATCGTCTCTTTTACGACCACGACCACGAGAAGATTTTTTCCTACTACAAAAATAAGAAAAAGCCAAAAAGTCAATTAACAAACCACCCACGAAAAGAACAAACACGCGGGAATTAAAATCACTAAATCACCATAAAAAACAAACAACAATCTAAGTTGCAATGGGAAAGCAGAGAACTTGTGCTGCATCATCATCATACAACAAGTCAACAACCATTAAAATCAGTAAATCACCATCAAATCAACCTTCACTCAAACAAACCTGAAAGAAATCTTCAGTGGACGATGTTATGGGCTACTAGGTCGGGGTGGCTGCTTTGACGAAGCGGTCAAGCGCAGTGCGGTCGACAGAGAGGACACTGCATTGGGGTTGATGGAGAGGGTGCAGTGATGGGTTGTTGCGTCATAGTTCGTCGGTCGTAGTGCGCAGACGTCGGAGAGGACAAGAATTGGGGTTCCAATTGGGCGGCAGGACTCCTGAGGGCTAGGGTTACTGGGTTAGGCAGGCAAAGCATGAGAGGGGAGAGCATGATAATCCTCCAATATACAATAGTGTAGTTTTGCTTGATTTTTTGCATTTCAAAATCCCTGTGCTGGGAGCAATTTTCAATTGCCCATTTTAGTAGTTTTCCTGCCTTCCTTCTTCTGCGCACATCATGGTGGCCTTTTGATTATTTTTTTATTTTAGCTATCACATTTTCCGGTTAGTATTTAGCTATCACATTTTTTTCCCACTCAATCTTTTTGTCAGTTTGATTAGGTGAATTTCAACTGGTTTTGCAAGAAAAACTTCAGTGATTGCCCGATTGGTTGGAACAAGGAGAAGAAAAACGTGTCGATTGGAAGATTGAGTGGAGTGCTTATTGAGAAAATAGGATAACTTTCTATAAAAAAGGGATAACCTTCTGTGCTTTCACAATTTTTTGGCTATTAGTGATAGTTGGTTGAAATTTAGTATTTCACAATAGTCAAAGTCGACTAATGAGTGCATTTATTGAGTTTTTTTAACATAGATTTTTTTGTAATATCTTTTACATTGATGTTAGGAACAGGTAGACTAATTCATCTCCCGTTCCACGAGCTGGTAATTTAAAGTAATCCGACTAGCGGGCCAGGTCAAAAAACAAGTTTATTAATAGTAATTCCTTTTCCTAATAGGCTAACACAGTTTTTTTTTTATTAATTAGTCAAATCGACGAATCCTAATTAGTCATTCCTAATTGTTGGAAACTTCCTATGCTGCAAATCCAGTATCAAACAACCGTTTCTCGTGGATTTATACCACCGCCCCAAAAATACCATCCGACAACCACCGTTCGGTTATCATTATGGTTATCAGTTTAACTGTTATCCGAAAAATTGAATCTCAACGGTAAGAATAAGAATTAACCTAACAATTATTACAATAATAGTAATTTAAACTGATAGAAACTTTTCTTCTATCGATGGTGGGAGAGAAACAGAAGAGACGATTTGATTTTATTGTTGTTATATTATAAAATGTGATATAATCATTTACGTTATAGTTCTAAGGCTCTATTTAGAAAATTTAGGACTACGACCGTGGGTAGATACCAAGGTTGTCAAACTGGTTTAAGTCATTGAGCCGGTCAAGCAAGGGTTTTGAGGTTTAATGGTCTAATTAGGGTCCGGTCAATTTGAGCTATTTTAGACATTTTCTAAATATATATACAAATAAGGTAGTAATTAAAGATTTTTTTTTTTACAAAAGATAATCATATATATTGAACAAAAGATAGTTACATCCTGGTATTTAACCAGGCCACAAAATCAAAAAAGCAACTCGTAGTCGGGAACATATGAAGGGCCTTTCTAACCACCAAATGAGTTACCATATTCCTACGCCGACCTACAAAACGCACCATAAAAGCACTATGTCGCCCCATCCCACTTACAAACAATTGGAGAAGGGAGCCCCACCCCCACGACTGAGCAGGTGGGGTGGGCGACCACACACCGTTATCAGCAGGTAAACTTACCCATTCCTGGTACTGTTGATGGAACTGCCTCATTAATGCTGGAACCCAAACTACTTGCCTTCAAAGACAACCCAGTTTCGAGACCGCCAGATTCTCCACAGGAGAGCAACGACTGTCATAAACAAATGAGGTTGTTGGATGAGCAACATCAACCTTTTTAGGAATAATGGGAAAGTGTGTTGAGGCAGCCCTTGACCAAGATATTCAAGCCCCGCATAATCCCACAATGCCCTAGCCACAGGGCAGTCAAGAAACAAATGTTCCATTGTCTCCGACTTCGCCCAGCAAACCGGGCATCGGGGGTGGACCAAGACACCCTTCTCGATTGAGGCTTTTGTCTTTGGAAGGAGACGACTGAAGAGTTTCCAAAGAAAGATCTTCAACTTTGGAGGAATATTAGCAGTCCACAATCTAATCCAACTGGTCTTATCCATCCAAGAAGCCATGGATCGCCATCGACCATTCTTTTTATCCAACAAAACCGCCAGATGATAAGCTGACTTAACAGTGAAGGTCCCATCAGACGTGTCATGCCAAATTAACCGTTCCTCAACATTTCGTCGCAGAAGAGGGATTTTTTTTATTGCATTGCAGGTAGGGGGGTCAAACCATTGACTAAACTTGGAATCACACCAATGTCCCTCCCCCTGGCAAATAACTTCGGCAACCATAGGACCATCATCCGCTGGCAAAACTCGAGGATTAAAAGTAGGGGCTAGAGGATGAATCCGCGGCACCCAGCTGGTATGAAGCAGGGGGTAGACTTCCCATTGCCAATTTGCCAGCGCAACCCTTACACCAACAGTTCTCTGCCAGCCCCAATAAAGATTTAATGACTAAAATGAAATTTATCTTACATGTATCTATTAAAAACTTATTTTCCACAAAATAAATCTATCTAACCTCCATGACCCACTCACCATTTCTTTCCTTCGTTCCTCTTCGAGTCTTCCTCTCTTCCCCCTCTTTTCTTCTCTCTCTTTAGGAGTCAGACCAAGGAACTTTCTAGAGACCGTTTTGAAGCCCGACTAAGATTACACCGAATCTAACCCAGGGTCCGATAGATCTAACCAGGGTCCAATAGTGGTTTAACAAACATGGTACAAAATGATCAATAAAGAATCCAACTCATCCATTTGCAGTTGTTTTAACCAGCAGAATAAGTGCTATACATTGCCAAAAATACACCTCCATACAGACAACAATCAAAGAGCAACACATGCGTAACAAACAGATGCAAAGAAACGATCAACAGATGTGTCGACAAAAAATGCTTACAAGTCTGACTATCACACACAACAAGCATGTCGTTCAGAAAATCGCCTTTCTGCTCTTGCACATGCACTCAGGAACAGGATACGCAATAACATCGCGGTCTCTCTTGTTAGTCCTTGCCTCAGGCTGTCCCAGTGATCTTCTGTGCAGCTTTCTCACGATTGTTCCAAGTTCTGGCTCTGAAATGGACGAGTCCTCAAACAAAGGAAGCATGGCTGGCTTGTTAGGCTTTATATACTTCCTGTGACCTACATAGGCTCGGTGACCCTGCCCAGTTACACACAACAGAGAGAAACCCAGCAGCAGTCTCGATCAGATTCCGTCTTTCTTTAGCTTTAACATTTTAATTAATGCGCACTTACCTGCATGACTCTGCCCATGTTTCCTCCGTGGGAGGGCAAAAACACGTTGCTGCTCAATGACACAATGTAGTCTACCGCAGCCAAAGCAGATGACTTCCCGGCATAAGGTGAAAGCTCCGCACCACGTGCCAACATCTCCTTGGTAACCAAATTAGGAAAGTCCTGCATCAATGGCTGCAGAGCTTTGGTGCCTCCAAACGGCTCCCCACCAGCTAGATATATACCTGCACCTGTTGGGGCTCCCAACGCCTTCAAGAACCTGAACCCAGAAACAACCAGAGAATCGAAATCTTTCAGCAATGGAAGTCCACAAAGATTAAGATTAATCCCAATTGCTGGGTTCAAGGGAGGAAACTGACCATGCAACTTCAAATGCATTAAGGGGGCATAAACCACTTTGTCTTCGCTGAATGTGGCTCATGTTTAGCCTTCCAGTGAGATATTCAGGTTCAGATTCCCTCATTTGGTCAACGATTTTGTCATATTCACGGCCTAAACCAGTCAGACATCCGCTTCTGATCCAGACATCCTTCTCTAGCCTAAGGTGCAGGGCTATGTAGGGGCCTTCCACCCACATTCTTCTTGCAAGCCGGTCTCCCAGCTCCTGAATAGGTTCTGCGAACCTCAGTGCATGAAAAGCCACCTGCAATCCACAAAGCCACAGATAGCAAAGCAAGCAAGTAAAAGCCGGGTAACGTGTACAACCCAGGATCTCTCCGTTGCAAATCATTGGCCAATCCTCCATTCTTACCTTGCATCGAAGCTTCTGCAGATCAAGTGGGAGATTCTTTGTTAACCTGGAATCAAGCCCTTTGAGTACAACAAGACCTTCTTCATTCATCTGGGTTGTACAACATGAAACCGTCAGAAAATTTGGCTGGTAGGAACGAATTACACGTCGACATAACCTCCCATACCTCTCTGGAGAACTTTGTGCGAAGCCAAAGAGGGGAAACATCATGAGGGATTTGGTTCTGAATGGACTGTCTCGACAACAGATGAGTAGATGGAAGGGATGAGACGATTCTCACGTCCGCCCTTAACACCCTCTTGAAATGCTCCACATCAAACACTTCAGCAAACTCACTGCAAAACAGAAGAAGAAGGGGGGGAAAAACGCCCCACACAAGCAATACATCAAACAGGTTGCGTTCAAGATTTTCCTTCAAGAAATTTGGCGTGGAATGGAGGGGAAGGAAATTGATCTCTGTTTACCTCTCGTCGCCCCACACTAAATTCACCTGCAAAACCGGCACAACCAGCGCGGCTTCTAGGATTCTGGCGATAACAACAGCATCGACGATCTGATTCCTCTGCTGGTTCAGTCCTCCGGCGACCACCACAACCAAGAACCGCCGCTTCTCCTTGGAAATCCTGGCGGAAGCCTTGCGGTACTCCAGTGTGAAATACAAGCAGGGCTGGTAGCCTTCACCGTCCGGTTGCTTCCAGAACTCCGCTTCCTCTTCGGACAAATTACTGCCGGGATTACGAACCGGAAGTAGCGGAGTACCGCTTGCCGCCATCTGAATTCCCTCTTCTGCTGCGGGATTGGAGGAAAGCGAGACGAAGAGCGAAGACGCGGAAACAGTCGAAGGAAAGGAAAGGGAGCATGGCGGCGACGAATCCTGCCAAGTTGGAACGATGCTGAGAAAGTGAGCTCCGAGAATGGCGAGAGAAAGGAGAAGGCAGCAGAGGAATAGCGAAATGGCGGCGGTAGGGACTGTGATGGGGCGAGTGTGGTGGTGGCTGTTTCTCGGGCTTTTCCGCGGAGAGAAGAGGAACGAAGGGAAGGGAGAGGCGGAGACGAAGTGGAATGCCGGCGACGGGACTAATGCCATTATCGGGTTGCTAAAACTCTTCAGCTTCCTCTCTTTCGCCATTGATGAAAGCTCTGAGAGGTGGGATCTCGTGTTTTGGTTGAGCGTTTCAGTTGGGAGGGAAAATCAAAATGGGGCATGGGAAAGACGAGATATCCGGGTTTGTTATGGTGAACTCTGGGCTTCTTATGGTTTTCATTGTCAGAATTGGTTACCAAAGGACATTTGTGGGCTAGGCCCATTAAATCAAATAGCAAACAAGTCGTTCCATTAAAATTACTGTTAACTATTTAAAAACAAACTGTTAACTAACTTTTCAAGTGTCAAGAAGCAGCCCAATTGTCAACAGTTTGGACTAAATATATAATTTTTTATTACCTAGGAACGGGCTACCAGCATTCAATTCAACGTCAATAGAGTTTTGCTCCAGTAGCCTTATACCTCCGGAAACACCAACATACCTCGATTGGATTTGAATCCGGGATCTGCAACTCTCAAACCTTCACTGTCGCGGCAGCGTACCGTTAGGCTAACTTACCTTTGGTGGACTTTATATCTTCAATATGTCATACGATGAAACCACATCCAATAATTCAACAACAAAAAAAGTTAATAGCATTTTATGCTCTTCTACTATTGCAAATGAACAAATGTGCCCCTTTATTATACTTTTGCACAAACGTATCCTCCTAATATCACAACGTCACGAAAATACCCTTCCGTTAAAATTTTCGTAGAGTTGCCGTTACGTGGGACGGGAAATGACCAAAATAACGCCTTACTTAAACTAGAATTATAATTTAATTCCATTTTGTGAAGCGGATTAAAAATCTCTAATCTAATTTTGTACGTCTTTCAAGCATCTTCATCCGTCGACCTTCCCACCTCGGTGGTCATCTTCACCTCCGCCGTTCACCAACTCCTCTGACGTCCATTACAGCGCTACTACTCCCTCAGCGCCAAGCTGATTGTCGTCCACCTGAACATAATAATTAACCATTCCTCCCCTGCAATTCTCAAGCATTCAAAATTTACAACAAATAATCCAATTTAGCTGTATAATTTACCAGATCCACATCCTAGCCTAAAATTAGCGGACATTCCCCCATGCTAATGTATGTCCAATTCATCGTAAAAAGATGAGTCTCATTGAATCAGATTTATCAGAGTAATCTATATTTTGGGTTCCAAAATAAACATAAGAGGGGTGGGAATAAGGGACAAGGAATGCCTCCCGAATTTGTAGAATATTGCAGGCGATGGAGTCGGGAACGGATCGACGGGAAGCGGTCAGGACGACAGACTCTGTACAGAAAGAAGGAGAAGTTAGCGCAAAAGGGCTTGCTCCCTGATCAAATGGGGGAGAAGGGCTCATCGAGGGTCGCCAGAGGGATCTTCGAGTGTTGTCGGTTGCAGCTTCGTCGATGTTTGGACAAGAAGAAGGAATTAGGAGGGGGTGGGAATTTCTTGCATGTGAAGGGGAGGGATGGATGGGATCGTGGTAAAGAATCACGGAGGGGGTAATTGGGTCATTTCCTACCCCACTTATCGGCCACTTCACAGAATTTTTAATGGAAGGATATTTTTGTTATGTTGTGATCTTAGAACGGTACGTTTGTGCAAAAAATATAGTGCAATGTCACGTTTGATAATTGGCAATAGTAGAGTGGCACAAAATACTATTAACCCAAAAAGAAAAAAACACATCACATTAAAGAAAAAAATGGATAAATTACATGTTTGATGACTCGGTTTATTAAAAACTTTCACAATTGCCATAAAAAATATTTTTCTTTCTTTCTAGTCACTAACTTTACACCTCATTGCATCGATAACCACTTGTCGTTCGATAAGTTCATCCTATGTGGCAGTTAAATATAAAGAATTACTATTAAATTGTTGATGTATGAATAAAAAAAATAAAAAGAAATAAACCAGATTGATCAATGCCGACGTCAGAGACTGATGCTACGAATTCAGCAAAAAAAAAAAAATCAACTCCACCCCAATCGCTAAATACATACACCTTCTTTAACTTAATATCGCAGGTCCAGTAGCCTTCTTTTTCTTATTTTCCAGTGGGGACAAATCAAAGCTAGAACACTGCGACAGGGCAAAGTAAAGTAAGCAATTAGGTAGGCAAACTCGTCAAATAGGATCACAATGGGAGGGAGGAAACAACCGAGAGATAAAAGCACCATTCAATAAAACGCATTCCACTAGCGACCTAACCCCAGGAACAGTGGGTGTCCTCTCCCTAAAATTAAATTAAATAAAAAATTAGATCATTATCAAATAAAGAAAATAACCATTTATTAACAGTTAAGAAAACTTTCACGACGTGTTTCATATTCTTAAAAGATGGTCAAATGCATTCGATGTCTGCGCTACTCAACAAATCTCTTTTGATATATCCTATTGGACAAGGATAGTCTAATCGAAAATATGTTTACTAATAGTAGAATTGTCCCAAGTTCAAATCACAAAGACTACCACCTAAATAATATTTTTAACCATAAACAAACTACATTTTCCACATTTTAAGGGTGTCCCCCTACAGCCCTACCACTTAAATATTTTTTTACCATACGCGAACTACTATCGAGGATTGGGTAATCTTTTCCAAATTTTAGGGTTGTCCTGGGAGGCCCTTAAATCCCTATAGATAGGCCACTGCCCATGATTACAACATAATGAGTGGGATAAGCTCTTTTCTAGCAGAGATTAGGGGTGGGAATCTAGACCAAACTGTATGAGGAACCGTGATCTAAACCGTATCGTATGCTATGGTCTGGACTTTGAGACCAGGACTATGGTCTAGTCTGGTTTATAGTCTCCTCCTTTAGGGTGTGGTCTAAAGTGGTCTAGACCGCGGTATATCGTACTAAACCGTGTCACACTACCCACTAACTCATACCAAAATAACACTTAATTAAACCTCCATTTCTGTATTTGAAGAACAAAGTTAGTTGATTTTTCATCTAGTTGAGAGCCAATAGATTACTCAAATTATCGCTTATGTGTTATCTCCTTATCAAAGAAACACAAAAAAAACAAGAAAGATTCATAAATAATATTCACTGGCAATGTATAGATTATTGAGTCGATAAAATAGAAATAACAAAAAAAATTCATTCACCTTGATGAGATAAGGAATTATCGATAGATAAGGGACCATCTTAGTGGTTCAAAGTGATCTCGACATCATTACGACAGTGATTGACCGCAAGAACCTTCAGGATCACTCGAGAGATGGAGAGAGGCGATGTCATAAAGAGGAAGAGGGAAACAAGTCTATTTGATGTGCGTATTTTTTTAATGAATACTGGGGAGAGCCGTGGAGACTGGAGAGAGTTTAATAATTGAAAAATTCCACGCCCCCATCATATATTTCTTCCCATTTTAATTACGATCACTAAATTTTTGTTTCACTAGCATATTGCCTACTGATTTATTTTTATAGATACCTGGGTGTGTTGGAGGGCGGAATAAGAGTAATTTTTTTTAACATGGTCTACCTGGTCTAGACCATACCTCACCGCACATGCGTGGTTTGGTCAGGACCGTATAGTATAGGGTCTAGTTCATGTCTGTGTTCCAGCCTATCGATCTGGACCATAGACCGTGTATATGGTCTGGTCCGGACCACACTGTTCCCACCCCTATTCAAGATGGGGGGTCCCGTAGCGGAAGCACACGGTGGCATTAGAGCAACAAAATGCTAACTTGCAAGGATGACCGCTAGAATTACTAAAAAAATTCATGCTTGGTCACTAAAAATATTTAATTTCATTCATGGTCTTTAAAGTTAGTAAAACATGTCATTGTCACTCTCCATTAGTCGTCGTCTATCCGTTAACGGAGATTGTTATGTTCTGATGTGGCAGGCGGAATCGCCTAGTTAGACTAATGTAACCCGAAAATGGTGTAACCCAACTCGCCATGTAACTAGGACCACCATGTTATCTTGCCCAATCCAACCCTTTTAAACAAACCCATGAACCTACCCATCTATCTTCTTTATATAGCTTCTGTCCACAAGAATCCTTTATATCTTTTTTTTTTCCCGAGTAACTAAAACTAATTAGACTAGGGTTGGGGCTTTAGGGAATTCGAGGGGCTATTTCATATGGTTGCAAAAAGTCACTGAGGGTGCGGGTGGGCGCCCGGAGAGGGGATTCACAGACCTGAAATCAATACGAAGATGGAGCAGTGAAAAACAGAGTCAAAGGAATATACGGAATCACAGATTTGGAATCAATGGAGTAGTGAGAGATAAAATTGAAGGAAGATATGGTGGACGAGATTAGGGTTTCGATGGAGACTATGGTTTGATTGAATAGGTGCGTTACATAACAAAAAGAAGAAGCACTCATACCCCAAAACTTTTGATGAAGAAGTTTGAGACAAAACTACAAAACCAGCACGAAACAAAACCCCAAAACCCAGAAATTGAAACCCTAAAAACAAAATTTGGGATGGGTTCATCGATTTGGGCACAAACAGTGGGTGTTGGGTTTGGCTAGGTTGTTGTAGTGGGGATCTTCTTGGGTTTGTCGGGTCACCGTGGAAAGAAGAAGAAAAGTTCTTCGGTTCTCCTAGGTTGTTTGTAGAGGCGATATGTTTGAGTTTGCCCGGGTCATCATCGAAAGAAGAAGAAAAGTTGGGTTCGCCTAGGTTGATTGTAGTGGTGATCTGCTTGGGTTCCCTAAGTCGTCGCCAGAAGAAGAAGACAAGTTGTTGTGGATAGAAAGCCATATAATGAAGATAGAGGAGTTGGTTCATGTGTTTGATTAAAGGGTTGGGTTGACATGGCGGGTCTTAGTGATGTGATGGGTCGAGTTTTACTAATTTTGGATTAAATTAGTCTGACTAGGTGATTCTATCTACCATGTCAGCATATAACGCTCTCTGTTAACAAAGATGGATAGCGAGAATGAGAATATTTTGAAAATATTAGCGAACAAACATATTTTTTTTTAGTAATCCCAGTGTGACTAACCTTGCAATTTACCTCATTTTTATCATACTCTCCCAAATCAAGTTTCCCCTCCACGATGGTG